CACAACATCCACATCCTTTAATTTTGGTAATAAATGATATATAAAACTACAAATATTTTGAATTTGTAATATTAATATCCCATGAAGTCAAATTGAGAATAATTTGTGATACCTAAAACATTTGACATATAAATTTGTGACGACAAATTGAATAATACAATCATTGATAATATTGTATATCATAAAAAAATAAATATTTATTCTAAACAAATATTTTTTGTTTCATATGAAATGAAATTAATGATATTTATAAATCATGTAATTATAGTTTGCATGTCTAATGAAATAATAATAATAAAAAAAAAGAATCAATGACATTTATCTTGAAAAAATTTTATTATTTGTTCATGCATTTCACATTATTTAAATTCACATTTTTTGTGTTAGTATAATAACGGAGAATGAGAAATATGTACCTTAAAAAAATTGAAAGTCAAAATATCTTATATTTATTTATGTGTCTCACTACATATGATGCACATTAATAACATTATTATTATGTAAGTATATTTAATTTGGATGACCTTTCTAAGATCAAATATCATATTATTTGTTGCTATAGTACCAATTATATATATATATATATATATATATATATATATATATATATATATATATATATATATTATATACATCTTTACATTTTTTTCACTATGCTTAAGTAAAAATATCTTTTTTTCAATTTTGACATTTGTATTTTATTTCTATCATCATAACACTCTTTTTAAAGAGTATTAAATATTTCTTGAGATTGAATAAGAGATAAAACTATTTTCTTTCTACATAGAAATTTTGTTTTTCATATTAGAAGTTTCAAATGATTTAAGATATAAAGAATTATCATCGATCTAGAATTAACTTACAATAAGAATAAATGTTCATTTTTCAACAATTATTATTCCTTTATTTTTAGAAAATTGACAGGATGATTTAAAAAAAAAAATCAAAGTCCTCAATTTACTGAGTAGAAAAATTTTTACCAAATCTACTTAAAAAAAAAAGTACAATAATAAATAAGTTTGGACTAATTAGTCTAAATGATTGTTACTTTATGATTTATTGGGTTGAGTTGGGTTGAATATTAAAAAAAAAGGGTCCACTTTAAAAAATATTTAAATATTAAGTCAATATAAAAAAAATAACAATAATATAAAGTTTCTAAATAAAATACAAAGTTTCTAAATAAAAATCTAACCATTTGTAAATAATAAGATATTTTAAATAAGAATTAACTAATTAATTACACATTATTATCATATTAGAATATTTTTTAGTACTTTCATATTATTATTTTTTACTCCATTAACAATTAATTATTTGAGAGTCTTCAACATATATCTCATCCTTCTTTTACAAATCTTGTATAGAGATCAACGTCGAAACTTAAAGTTTGTTGTTGATAACCTTTCTTAGATTGCCACGTCTAAAGACCCATATTCTCTAGAGAGAAACAATTTATTTCCCACATTCAAAAATGTAAAGTGTAAATTGCTTTGTGTTACAATATCCTTAAATAACTCAATTTTACTATAATAAATAAAATTTTAAGAAACTTTAAACATCGTTTTTTATTTTTATTTATAAGTTTCTTGGTAAAGGAACTTATAACATCTTTAATAAAATTTCTTATGAATAAAATAAGTATTTTAATGTGAGATAAGCAATTTTTCTAAACACTTTGAAGAATTATTTTAAATAATTAATGCTAAAAATATTCCTAAATTTGTATTAAATTTTTGAAGAAAAAAAGATAGACATACACCACAAAATCGATAAATATATTACCATAATTTAATTTAAAACTAATCCCATAATCCATGATAAGCATGTAATGGATTAAAAATATTTTTTTATTAAAAAAATAATAATTAACAAATAAAATTGTCTCATTTTATATTTACTTTTTTTATCTGATTCAAATAATTTAATTTTTGTACTTTTTATTTATTTATTTTTCAGTTCATATCCAAATAAAAGTTAAATTTATCTATTCTCATGCCGACACGAACAGTGAAACATGCAATCGTCCGGAACGGTCCTCGAAAATCACCACCACCACTTCATGCGTAACATTTTCATAATTTTTTAAATTAATATTTTTTATTTTAATATAGTAATTATAATTTTTTTAATATTATTTTTAAATGCATGGTTATATTAGTCTATTTAATTATTATTAGTAGCAAAATCAACCAGGTAAGAAAAGCTATCATATTATTTAACAATTTTTGGTAATGTATCAACTTAGTATCTTAATTGTTTTTATTATTTAAAAAAGTATAAAAACATTTAATGAAAGTATTTTATTCATTTTAATACATGGGACAAAACTTTAATCAAAAGGAGTACTGGTTGACATTTCTGCATTGATAATATACATTTTTTTTTTTACAAAACTTAAAAGAATATCTCCTTCATGAGATTAAATTGAACAATTTTTATGCTGAAGACTAATATATATTTTAACATATAAATACTACTGTACGAATTAAAACTACACGTTTTAAATATATATATATATATATATATATATATTTTTTTTTTTTTGTACATGCTTTTTATCTTAAAAGATCAAATTGTTAATCAATTATTTAAATAATGTATATATTTAAGATATTGCACTTTGTATCCAAATGCGATACTCACTCCGATCCTAGATTTGTATGTGATTATAATATTTTTTTAAATTTTAAATAATTAATGTATGAAGCGAATAATAATAGTGAATTTTTTAATTTGTAAAACTTAACCTTCATTCCTCCATTTTTTGATAAAAGAGGAAGAATAAATTATAATTTTTGAGTAGTGGACTAAAATATTTAAGGGTGCTTTGGTAAAACTAATTAAAGCAAGAAATAATTAGAAAATAGTCTAATAAAAAGGTTTAAATGAAAAATAAAATATTTTATATTTAGGAAGGGAGATAAAAGATGGCTAAATTGGTTGTTGAAATTAAAAAATTAGTATAATAGTTGCTAAAATTATGTATTATTATCAATTCATTTAATTTATGAAACTATATTGGCAATTAAAATAATTATTGAAATAAATAAATTAGTAAAACGATCATTGACGTTATAAATTATCAATAATTTAATACTTTTGTTTTTCGGTTCAATAAAACGTTAATCCATCATTTATTTTGTTTCTACCTTTTTTTTCCCTTGAAAAATGAAAAACCCTAATTGATCCTAAAATTAACCTTTTCTTTTATTTTAACTTTTAAAATTGTACTTTTGGTCCCTAGACTTTTAATTACTTTATTAGATTGGTTGTTTTATTCTTTATTCTCCTTTTTCATTCACATCCCTCCCTCATATTCTCCATTTGTTAGATTGGTGGTATGGTTTCAAAATTTTGTAAATTATATCTTTATTAAATTTTGGTATTGTCCTTTTATTGCATTCTTCATTCACATCATTCCCTTCATCGTTCTTAGGAATGATAAAACAGATCAATTTTATCTTTGGCTTGCCAAAAAATAGGCGAAACGCATACGACCAGTTGTAGTCATGATGGATTATAGACTTTGTCTTGTCCTGTCCTCTCAAAGAGCGGGTCCATAATTTAAAAAAATATATTTTTTTAAATCAAAATTTTTAATAAATTTAATAATAAGATTATCTATCAATAATTCAATATATATATATATATATATTTAAAGTTAATAATATAAATCAATATATTATTTTAAGAAATTATAATTTAGAATAATAATAAAATTTATATAATAATAAATATATAAATAACGTCAAAACTTGTAAAATTTATATTTTTTATATTAAAAAATTCAAATACCAATATCTTTTTTATTTGATAAAACTTCTTATTGTTTTACCCTTAAGTAATTCTTACACCTTTAATTTAAGTCATAAGGATAAGAACAATCGAGTGCCTAAAATGAATAAGGTAGAGATGATGAGCAAGAAGGAGAGAGAAGCTTGTGTTTAAGTGAGAAGAGTGTTTCCCGAGTGAGAGTGAGACTTTTTTAATTCTTTTTTTACAATTTTTAACTTTATATATTGTCTTTTATGATTAACTGTATTACAATAAAAAATTATTTTTTTATTAATTAGATAAGTTGTGGGCTACCCCGACGGATTGATGGGACATGCCAAAGCGGTGGGTGTTGGGTTAAAAACACTAATCTATCTGTCCTGCCATATTATAGCGGATCGGCGGTCGGTCCCTAGTAATCATTCTTCTTTTTATTCAACGGACTAGTGGTAGTTGTTCCGATACACTCATGAGTCCACATCGCTTAAAAGTTAAAGTTAAGAATAATTTATATATCATCTTCTCTCAATCCATCGATGTGTCTTTTGAAAACAAAATCATTATATATTATAGCTCCAAAATTGACAATACCTCAAACATAAGAATTGACCTTAACAATATTATCATAACGAACATGAAATGAAAGAAATTCTCGTTTTTCATGGAACAATAGTGTTTAAAATTACAATAAAAAAAAGTTTTTGAAAATTTTTATGTTATATATAATTTTCAGTTTTAATTGAAATTATCACTATTCAATTTTATGTATTATGAGAATTAGAAGTGTGATAATAAACTGTTATAAGATATTAATTTTTTTACTTGTGCAAGTTATAATTTTAATATTCCTTAAAATACATTTAAATTGTGAGAGTATTCTTTCCATATAAATATATATTAGCAAATATCTCCTTTTATGTTGTTTTTGTAATAATACATGAGACATTGAATTAAAGGACACACGAGTCATTAATGTCTAACATGTTTTTTTTTTTCCTTAGACATGAAACCGACAAATCCAGCCAAATGATTCGATGAGAGGGCACGTCACGGAATTGGGTAAAAGATTCAATGATTGCACAAGTCATAAGCTGAGGAGTGAAACACCAAATTTGAAAACTCAAAACACAAGGGAGATGCGTAACCTTCCTTCATTCTGCTTCCACCGTGTTTGGCAGTACACATATATTATACCAATAAACTTTACGTAATTTCATACCAAGACCAAAACTAAATTGGCACGAGGCTGCCACTTTTCACTTCCATTTTCAGAACATAAGGCCACGTTTGGCATCCATCCCTCCACAGTAACCTTTCTGTCTTCTTTTGTGGGTCCATATGCCCACTTCAAACCTTACCACAATCCTCCCTCACACGTTCACAAACTCATCTCAGATCATGCCTAAATTCTTCACACAATCCATTATATAAACCCATCTCCTTCACCAATGTCTCAACACAACACATAAATTAGTGCATAGAGTGAGTGCTACAATATCATGGGTAGTGTAGATTATGAGTACCCTTTGGGGATGAACATTGTTCAGGGTATGCAGCACCAAGTGGAGGTTCCACCACCTCAACCATTTTTGAAGTCTCTAAAGTACTCCCTCAAGGAAACTTTCTTTCCAGATGACCCTTTGAGGCAGTTCAAAAACAAGCCACCCTCCAAAAAGCTCATGCTTGCCCTTCAGTATTTCTTCCCCATCTTCGAATGGGCACCCAAATTCACCTTCCACTTCTTCAAAGCTGACCTCGTAGCTGGTATCACCATAGCTAGCTTGGCCATTCCCCAAGGCATCAGCTATGCCAAGCTCGCCAACCTCCCTCCTATCCTTGGACTATGTCTGTACTTCATTCTCCCTCTTCCTATTCTCTCCATCATCATCTCATATTCATTATAGTTTTTTGCCAACTTGTTCCAAAACTAAGAAATGTTTTATAAAGCTTAATATTTTAATCCATATTAACAAGAGTACAACTGAAAGATATAGTATGTGTGTGTGCAGATTCAAGCTTTATACCACCGCTGATATATGCGATGATGGGAAGTTCGAGGGATTTGGCGGTGGGGACCGTGGCGGTTGGATCGCTTCTCATGGGTTCCATGTTGAGTGATGAGGTTAATCCCAATCAAGACCCAAACCTTTACCTACACCTTGCCTTCACAGCTACACTATTTGCTGGAATTTTTCAGGCTTCGTTGGGTTTCTTTAGGTAAAATCTTAATCAAACTTGTACTTTTACATCAAATTCAGGAATCAGTTTATGCTGCACGTTACAGACTTATTGCTATACCAAAAAGCTAAATTCAATGAGGTTAATAATTTACTATATGATAATATTCTTCAATACAGATGTAACATTGATGTTAATTAATAAGCGCAAGACATGCACGATGATTGCAGGTTGGGGTTCATCGTGGATTTTCTGTCACATGCAACCATTGTAGGGTTCATGGGAGGAGCAGCCACAGTGGTTTGTCTGCAGCAACTAAAATCGATTCTTGGGCTTGTGCATTTCACACATGGAGCTGATATCATATCAGTTATGCGCTCTGTTTTCACCCAAACTCATGAGGTAAACAAATTCAGTGCAATAATATTACTACTTTTCAGAAGATCACTTGTATATGTTACGTTCACGCAATTCTTTTTTGACCCAACTCAAATTAAATACAAGTTTGTCTCCTTGTTTATTTATTGCAGTGGAGGTGGGAAAGCTCTGTGTTAGGATTTGTCTTCATTTTCTTCCTACTTCTTACTAGATACTTCGTAAGCATACCTAATCCATTTTCTTTTGCATAAAATATCTAAGATATTATCTAACAATATAAAGTTGTTTATTAACAAGAGACAAATCCTTTCTATTCTTTCAAATAATATGATTTAGTTCTCTATCAATAGGACCTCACATTATGCACGTAGTAATTAAATACTTTTAGTTGGAATAGTTCTAGTTTTGTATTTTATATAATTCTATTATCTTTCCTACTCTGAATTGTAAATACATTAAATTATTTTTTATTTATTTTATTTTTCTTAATTTTTTTCTCTTATGAGTGTTTTTTAAATATTAAAAATATTGTCAGCGGTAAAAATGATCATGTTGAAATGATTAATAAGAGAGTGAAAAACTGAAAAACGATAAACTTGTTAGTCAAAGTTATTAAGCACTTAAATTAATTTGTTGAATTATAAATATTTGATTATGCTGGAAAGTAGTTGATAAGTATAAAATATTATTACATTATTTTTTTATATAAATTTTAATTTTGTCACAATATATTTTGGATAGTTATGTTTACAGTTTTTTAATTAGCTTTAAACTCTTGATATTTTTATTTAAAGAAAAATTATTTAAATCACGTTTTCAGTTTCAATAATTTTTCATAAATAATAACACCTTGGCTTACGTGAAAAAGAGAGGAAATTTAACTTTAATCAATTTATTAAAATTAAATTTAAAACAATATACATAATAACTGTTACATCTAATTTGAAGGTTACACTTAACTATTCTAACTAAACTAATTATACATAATAACTGTTACATCTAATTTGAATTAGAGAGTGAAAAAGGAAAAAAATAAAATAGAAAACAGAATTGTTTAAATTAAAAAAAATAAAAAAAATGTATTTATTATTTTAATATTATTTTTAATTATTTATTATAATTACAATTTTTCTTTTTTAAAAATTATATTTTAAAAAGAATTATCATATAATTGATTATCTAATTTTAGATAAAAATATATATTTCATGTTTCGGTGTATTTCTTGAAAAATTCATAATATTTACTTTGAATTTCACACTATTTCAGTCTTTTTACACTTTCCGTCCACGTACCCAAACAGAGACTTAAACCTTCTTTTCTCTCTTGACCAAAAATAAAAGTCAGCAAATTTTTCAACGACATTTGACACTTTATCCTTAGTTCTTTATTCTGCTGCTACAACAAAAGTATTGACACCATATATAGTAAAATTACAAACTGCTTTTAGATTATCATTGACTTAAATTAATTGAAGTCTGGAACAAGTATCTGATCATGAATAACAGAAAAGGTGTGGTTAGGTTATCTCAGTTAATACATAAAAGAAAATGAACTCTGATTATAGTTTGTGATGCCATGCAGAGCAAAAAACAACCAAGGTTTTTCTGGGTGTCAGCAATGGCACCATTAACGTCCGTTATATTGGGAAGTCTGTTGGTTTATTTCACTCACGCCGAGAAGCACGGAGTTGAAGTTGTGAGTATTATTTTCATCTCATATATCATGTCAAATAATAATAAATATTAATTAGGTTAAACTAAATTCTGTTGTTCAAATATAAGAAAATATTTTTTTTCCAACACTACTGATAAAATAGTACAAAATGGTGTCTTGTATCCCAGTTGGTTTGATTGATTAAACTTATTTATTGGATCAAAAAAAGCATCTTTTAGGGCAATCTGAATATGATTGGATCATATGCATATTTTTGTACATAAAACATAATCTGCAGACTCTTTTTTCGTAATGCACTCACACAACCAAACACTGTTTAGTATCAGTGGGTCCTACTGATATCCATAGCCATGAATTTTCTTATCCGGTTGGACCAGCAAAGGAATCATTGATAAGCATGAGTACAAAGTTAACACTGGTTTTGTCTGTCACTGTCAGATACATTTGGAGATAACTCAGTTATAAAATCTGAGTAATATGGGGATCTTTTATAAAGTTATACTATTATTATTCTCATGATGATGATGATGATGATAATAATTGTTAGTATTGTAGATGAAACATGTGGTACTTCCAAGAATTGATTTTCTAATCTTGGTGTGTGGAGAAGGATAGATATCTGATGTAGTAATGTTGTTTGTGAAATGTGAAAATGAATTCAGATAGGAGAACTGAAGAAGGGTTTAAATCCAGGATCTGTCACAAAGCTGGTATTTGTGTCACCTTACATGATCACAGCTGTCAAAACTGGCATTGTGGTTGGCATCATAGCGCTTGCAGTGAGTACCTCTCAAACTCGGTTACTTTGTCAGAGTGTATGCCTAATATGCTTTCCACACACAAAACACAACTCTAAAAGGTAACATCTTTTGCCAAACAAAAAGAAAGAGAAACTCCACAAAGCAATAGCATTATTATTAGTGGGGTTTCTGTTTTTAGCCTCTTGACATGGTCCTCCTCAATTTGACTGTGAATTGGATACTCAAATTCGGTTGTGTCTTGGTTGAAAAATGAAAGAAAGAACGTTGGATAGGAAAAAAAAAATCACTTCAGTTCACTCTAGATAACATGTCATGTCCTGCACCTAGTCTCCTAGAGTAATGCAACATGCAAGTGAGATATTCATTTATTTTATTCCTACAAATAGCACATTAGGTATGTTTCAAATGGAAAGGATAAGCATACATTGAAAATTTATCCATATTGCATTTCATATGTATAAAGGATAAAATTTTCATATAATGAATTTTACCATAAAAAGTAAGAAAAAATGAATTGACTTCTCAACAGATTAAATTAATTTATGTATAAATTAATTTATAAAAACTCTCTTTTATAATTTTAAATTTTTTCACTTATGTGTAACAGACAAAATCCTACATCTGCTATATCGTTAGTTTAGATTTCAACAAGATCTTGTTGTTGAGTTTGATGATATATTGTTCAGGAAGGAATAGCAGTGGGAAGAAGCTTTGCAATGTATAAAAATTACAATATTGATGGCAACAAAGAGATGATAGCTATTGGGACCATGAACATAGTTGGTTCTTTTACCTCTTGCTACATCACAACAGGTAAAGATTTTAACTCTTAGCCAGCCCCTAGTGTCTGCAAAAATATACACTCATATTCTTGTTTAGCCTTGTTTCATGAACTCTCACGCTCACTTTCTCTACCCACAATTAAGAACAATCTATGAATTATTGCTTTTCTGCATCAATTGCTGACATATGTGGTTGAAAAATGAATTTGTTTCAGGGCCATTTTCACGCTCAGCCGTGAACTATAATGCTGGATGCAAGACAGCAGCATCCAACATTATAATGTCAATTGCAGTCATGTTGACATTGTTATTCCTAACACCCTTGTTCCATTACACCCCCCTGGTGGTGCTATCAGCCATAATTGTATCTGCAATGCTTGGCCTCGTAGATTATGAAGCAGCCATCCATCTGTGGAAGATTGACAAATTTGACTTTGTTGTGTGCATGAGTGCATACATTGGCGTGGTCTTTGGCAGCGTTGAAATTGGCTTAGTCATAGCTGTATGTTTCAATGAACTCCCTCCACTCTACTGAATTCGTGGTACTCATTCTGGGGTTATTGTAAAGGTTTATTAAATTAATATGTGGTTTCATGTGTGTATATAATATATCCAGGTTGCAATATCTGTACTTCGAGTACTTCTATTCATTGCAAGGCCGAGGACATTCGTTTTGGGCAACATTCCAAATTCTGAGATTTACAGAAATGTAGAGCAATATCCAAATGCAAAACATGTTCCTGGAATCCTAATCCTAGAGATTGATGCACCAATTTACTTTGCCAATGCAAGCTATTTAAGAGAAAGGTAAGCTACCTGCAAATTTGATGTATTTCTCTTGTATGCAAAAAAAATATGCCTAAGTAATAGAAGTAGACACTTACCATAAAACTTTGTTATTGTGCATAGGATCACAAGGTGGATTGACGAAGAGGAGGACAGAATCATAGCTACTCGAGAAACAAGTTTGCAGTATATTATAATGGATATGAGTGGTAAGTAATGGATCTCAAATATATTTGATTAATTATTAGTAAAAGTGAAACGTTAACCACATAAACTCTCTAACACATGTTTTAATTGCACTATCTATTATTGGTAAGACTTCTTATATATTACAAAATTTTAAGGTCTCACTTCGTATTAAATGAGTCACACTCGTGATATTGTGAATTTAGTTATAATACTGAAGAAAATGTGTAAACAGTTTCTTTTGTGAATTTTCGGTCTAACTTGCAGTGTAATTCTGTTGGCAGGTGTTGGAAACATCGATACAAGTGGAATAAGTATGCTTGAAGAGGTCAAGAAGATTACGGAGAGAAGAGAGCTGCAAGTAATTCTCTCTTTCGTGTTATCTGTCAATTATTTTTGTTTGATAAGCAAAAAATTATGTACAATTTATAAATGGTACATGGGATACCATATCTTTACACAAATGTGGTTCTAATGCAGTAAGAAAAGTTTAGCAGCCCTGCATAATTGGCTACTATTAAACCTCTAAAGCAGCATGCACTCCCCTGCATTATGCATTCCTCTATCCCCAAAAGAAGCCATTAGTTTTTGTTTATCTCAACATGGAGAATTTGAGTCGAGGTATTAGACATGGTTCAAATGGGTCGAAGAGTTGGAGGGGGAGAATGTTTCAATGGATTCTCACTTGAAGAGGGAGTATTGGAATTCAAGTGTAAGCTAGAACCCCATTTCGAATAAAAATGTGAAAATTCAATATCTTATAAGTGAAATAGACACATGTGTTAAGATTTTGGGTTGAAGATAACATTGTCTTGATTATCCCATAAAGTCAACTTTTCAAAAATTCATCATATAAACTTTCTCTGCAGTAGTTTTTCCCTTTGAAAATATATTAGTTTATTTGGTTCCATGCACACCATATTACAGTCATCCATAAGGTCTTCCAATTTTGGAGCTCCACTTTTGTTGTCACACATGAGGAGTACTACATGAGTCATTGATCTACCCTCCCCGTGTCTGCCAATTATGACTCCGGAACCAAGATTTTCTTATATATGTTCAATTTCAGCATGCTTGATATGATATCATTTGTAATCTTCCATTCCTATACATTCAGCTCGTTTTGGTCAACCCCGGAAGCGAGGTGATGAAGAAACTGAACAAATCGAAGTTCCAGAATAATTTAGGGCAGAAATGGATCTATCTAACTGTTGAAGAGGCCGTTGTAGCATGCAACTTCAATCTCCGTGCAAGCAAAACGAATCTCAAGAAAGATGAATCAGAGGGTTGGAACAATGTTTGACTGTGAGCATAACCCAAAGAATATTCTCAAGAGCTCAAAATGCTCATTAATTTTCGTCCCAGTTATGTTACCAGCACACTCTGTTGCATGAGAATTTCTGAAAAAGGAAGGCTTAGAAGCATAGGAAAATGAAAGAAGCACGAGTCTTCTAATTTTTCTTCTTGTATGCTTAGTTAGAAGAAAATCTTCTACGTAGGGTGTTTAATAATCATTATGCATCATGGTTTGTAATCTACTCAAATGTAAAGTAAATGTCATGAGAATTGAAAATTCTTTTGGAAACTCGTCTTAGAACTAGAACAACCTTAAATCATTGCAAACAAAAACAAACTTCACTAGTATGTTACAAAAAACTTGTTAATAAATATTTTCTATTAATTTTTTAAAAAATTGTTTTTTAACTTATAAATAAACTAATTAGAACTTATGAAAAAAGTTATTTCATTTGTCATCTTTATTTTCTCATCTACAAGTTGGATACCTATGTGATGTATACACTAAGTAACCTTGGGAGTTCAGACACAAGAATGGTGATAGAAGAAATCAATGAAAGCAAATTGGTGAGCCTGCTTCTATTAAGGAATGGTCTCTTGCAGCACAATTAACGACCAAAACGTTAAACACTCATTTATCATCTAAACCAGGTAGAAAAAGGAGGTGATTATTCAGAATTTCATATTACAGAGAAAAAATTGTGAAAATTTCATTCTAGCCTTGGCCTCTTCTTATGAGTAAATGAGGCACAACATGTACAGTGATCAAAATATGAAGGGTCTTAATGCATCTTTAGAGAGAAATTTTACAAAAAAGAGAGCTAACGTCATTACTTAAATCAAACTATATTTTAACAATCAATCTCCCTTGGTGGGAGGTCGCACACATGAACAAAAAGGTAGCTTTTTCTTCTTTTGGTTGTTGGTTCTCGTCCCACCATAGAGATAATCTCTCAAAAGAACTCTTGGACTTCGATCAGTCAGTTTTGTTTTCTCTTTGCTTTCTTTTCCATCACCAAGTTTAAGCAGTAGAAACTGAAGTCTCTGCACCTCCAAATGCAGTTGTCCTATCTTTTCTGATTCTCTCCGTGCCTGTTCTGAGACTCTCCTGCTGACACTTCCACTTTCATCTGACTCTGCTGCACCCTTCCCGATAGAAGACAAGGTACCCTCTTCCACATTCTTCATCAACTTGCGGTTGGCGTCAAACAACTTTGTGATGGTCTCTTGGGATGCTTCAAGCTGCCCTTTCACCTCATCAAACTCAACACCTTTTCCCTTTGTGTTCTTCTCATTAGCCTCTACCTTCTTCATCAAATCTTGTATGGTGATTTGAAGGTTTGTCAACTTCTGTGCATCAGAATCGAGTCTCTCTAAAATCTTCCTCTGGTTCCCTTCTTCTCGTGGCAGTGTCAATCTTCTTGAGATCTCTAATTTGTCCACACTCAACTCTTTTTCCACCAAGGAATCTTTTGAAGGATATTTGTTTTTGGGTTCCTTGGTTGCTCCTCTTTGATGATTGCCAGCAGCTTCAGCAGCCATCCTCTGTGTCTTTTCCACTTGCTTTCCGATAGTTCCATCCTTATCTTCTGTTTCCCACAACTCAAGCATCTGATCATCGGCCTCAAGAATTTCTCTCCTCCTACTTATTCCATACGATGAACATTCAGATATTTGATCTAGCATGATGTCTTTTGGCAAAACTTCAATCTCGGTAACCGGGTTATCTGACTTTGCTTGATCTTGAGTAACATGCTTGCTAGCCTGAATATTGTCTTCTTGCCGGATAATTCCATATTTTAACTCTTGAATCTCTCTCGTTTCATTCTTGAGTTTGAAACTTTCATTTAACTGCTTTACTGCCACTGCAATTGCATTGATCCTTCTCTGCATGTCTTGGAACTCAGGGAGTGAATCTGGTGCCATTACAGTCTTATCTTGTTGACCATTTTCAGTGAATTCATTATTCATCAAATTTTTAACCTGAAAATGGTGATTATAATAAAATTACATCAATAAAAGAAATGCAATAATAGTTGGTTACTGAATGAGAAGAAAATCATGTCAATGATTACGAGATCATCAAACAAAGGCAAACTAGTGGCTAACTAAAACTATTTTATTTTACTTGATATATTTAAAAGTTAATCGATTCCATAAAAATCAAAACCAATGATATAACGAGCTACATGTCAAAATCCTACATGCTTCACTAATTGATATAATCAACAAAGTGAAATCATTTCATCCTAACCATTCAAACTATTATTTGTTGAAAAATGCAAATCATTTGACAGGGGATTGAGTAAACAAACTAATTGCAAAACCAGACGCCATTCCACCCAATACTTCATGAGACAAAGGTTTTTATGAAGTCATATTATGAAGTCATATTAATGCATCCAAGTAAAGAAAATGACACATAATAGTTGGGTTCAAAATTGGAAATTAGATCAACAGTCCACTACAGTGCCTCAAAGATCATAGGAGTGAAACAAGAATGAGGATCTAACCCACCCCAAAACTGTCAAATTATGGCCCAATGGAATCACACAGACAAGCTATAATATTGTTGCAACCAAATACTGAAACTGACATATTAGTACCTTCGATTCTTCACAGTCATCAGGTTTTGCATGTACAAGAGTCTGCATCTCCAGACTTGTTATACAATCATTCAAAGCACTGACAGCGGGAACATATGCAGCTAATTGGCCAGATAGTCTTCCATTTTCAACTTCCAACTTGTTAACTCTTTCTTTCAGATGCTCGCTTTCCATTTCTTTGGAGTAGTTTCTGTGTTCAAGATTCTCACAAGCATTAGCTAGCTCACAGACCTTTGCTTCAAATATTGTTTCGTTGACAGCCGAAATATGCATTTCAGCAAAGAGTGTTGAAGCCTGAATTTCCCATAGTTCAATCTCATTTGTTCCCTTAAGTACTTCATAACTCAGCTTCTTTTCCTTCAGTTTAGTTTCTCCAAGCTCTTGCCGTAGGTACCCCATTTCAGACTCCAATTTCTGATTCACTTCACACAGGCATATTAGCTCTTCATTTTGATGATCCTTGTCTGAGGACAATTTCAAAATTTGATTAGCCTGTTCTTCGAGCATCACCCTTGCTTCATCATATTTATTCTTGAGATCTTCCACCATTCTTTGCAATTCTGTTCTCTCAGAATGTACAACATGAAACATCTCAGCTGCTTCCAAGAGCTCATTTTCTTTCTGATGCAACATTTCCCTTTCATCCCTAATCTGAAAGTTCAATTCATCATTGATAGATTCAACTAAATGTTGTTCAACAATTGACTTTACAAATGAGTCCTTAAGATGTGAATTTTCCATTTCTGCATTCTCTAACTTGCCCACCTTCTCAGTATGTAAAGCACGAAAAATCTCGGCTGCTTCCAAGAGCTCATTTTCCTTCTGATGCAACATTTCCCTTACATCCCTAATCTGAAAGCTCAATTCATCGTTGATAGATTCAACTAAATGTTGTTCAACAATTGACTTTACAAATGAGTCCTTAAGATGTGAATTTTCCATTTCTGCATTCTCTAACTTGCCCACCTTCTCAGTATGTAAAGCACGAAACATCTCGACTGCTTCCAAGAGCTCATTTTCCTTCTGATGCAATATTTCCCTTTCATCCCTAATCTGAAAACTCAATTCATCATTCATAGATTCAACTAAATGTTGGTCAACAATTGACTTTACAAATGACTCTTTAAGATGCGAATTTTCCATTTCTGCATTTTCTAACTTGCCGGACATTACTTTTAATTTCTCCTCAAGGTCATTATTTGCTAAACGATGTTTATCAAGATCCTCACGTAGCTCTTTAAGTTCCAGGAGCTTTTCAAATATAACATTCTCATAAATCAGGGAAATATTAGATTGAGCCATTGTCTCATGGATCATGAAACATATTTCTTCTTCCAAATTACTTTTCACTTCACCCAGATCTAGAAAACTTCTCATCAAGGACTTTTTCTCTTCCAATATCTTGCAACTATCCTCCTGTAAATTGTTGTGACTCTTTTGCATGTCAATCAGCTTCTTCTGTAGGTTGTCTATTTCAGTTGTCATTACTTCCATTCTCTCTTCTCCTTTGCTTATTGTCAACTTCAACTCTTGGTTCTTCTCCAATATCTTTTGGACATCTACTTGCAATGCCAAGAACTGCTTAGACTGGATATTGAACTGCTCATCAAGGGCATCTCTTTGTGTCACAAGAATTTCTACCTTTAGTTTCAACTGCTCAAGGAATGTAATCAGAATTGAATTCTCAATGGCCATTTTTTGGCTTTCATTGAAAATTGTATCAAAAGATTTCTGCCTCTCCTGAAGTTTTCCATATATGTGGGTCAGAAGCATTTGATCTTCTTCAAGCATATCTTCACAAATATGCCCACTGTTATTGTCAAGAGTCTTCAACACCTGAATCAACCCAATCCTTAGTATTTTAATTTTCTCAGACAGAGAATTCACATCAACCTGCTTTTGAACATTTTCAGTCTCCAATTTAGATATCATTCTGTTTGACAATTTGGAAGCCTCCAAAAGTCTTTGACACTCCACCAGAATGGAGAAGTTCTTTTTTTCCATATCATCAACACATTGCTGTAAGATAAAAATTTCAATTTGAGCATGTATAGCTCTGTCCAGTTCCTCGTCATATTCCTTTTTCTTGCTATTGGCATCTTCTTGTAGACTAAGAATTTGCAATTCCTTCGAAGCCAAATCCTCTTCACTTAATTTCAAAACTCTGGAATGTTCTTCCCTCTCAGAATATAGGGAAACTAGAAGCTCTTCTACCTTTTGAAGTGCAGACTCCCTTTCTCCTTTTAGTTCCAAATGCTTTGACTCCAACTCAGTGTGAAATTTCTCAAGATCTTTCAGTGTTTGATGAGTTATGTTCATCTGTGAAACTAAAGTTTCTTTCTCTTGAAAGATACTGGACTTCTCATGGTCAAGTGACTGGCATGTGTCTTCTAATATCTTTGATTTCACCCTTAACCCATCAAGTTCAGCATTCACATCAAACAATGAATTTTCCAAGAGGTTGCTCTTTTCTGAGAGCTCCTCCAGCTTTTCAGTTGTAGATTGCAACTGAGAAAACAAAGTGGCCTTCTCAGCAGCAAGATTGGATTTCTCCACTTGTAGAGATTGGCACGTTTCTTCCAACGCATTTACCTTTCCTCTGACACTATCCAGCTCCGCATTCAAGTCTGAAAGGGAATTCTCCAAAACCATGTTTTTCTCCAGAAGTTTCTCCATGGTTTCCAATTTTACCAGGAGAGCTTCTTTTTCTCCTCTGTCAGCCTCACATGTTTCCATCAGCTTTAAGTTTTCCTCTTGCAATTCTTTTACAGATGATCCAAAGCACTGTGGATCTAAGTCAGTTGACCTGACCTCCTCCATCATGGCTTCATGTTTTTTATTCAAATCATTAAGCTCCTCCTTAAGACAGTAAATTTCTTGCTGAAGAGCATTCCTTTCATCAGTTCGAAGCTCCACCTCCTGTTCAAGTTTCTCTATTGTCTCCCTCAAATTCAAAATCTCATCTTGCAAATTTTTTATTGACAAAGATGAAGATATTTTGACCTCATTTAAAATTTTGTTTTCCTCACTGACCCTGTGTACTTCATCCTCTAGAGCCTTCTTACGTGATTCCACATTCCCCAGTATTTCCACTTTACTGTGAAGTTCAGCAGCAAGAGATCTAAGCTCTTCCTGAGATTGAGAATGTAACTGCTGAAGAGTTTGGAAAGCAGTTTCTGCCTCAATGAAGCGCAATCTCTCCTCCTGTATGCAACCCCAAAGTCTACTCAATTCCTTCTGCTTCTCATTAAGTTCTTCACTTTGAGACCCCATTTGTTGGGCCAAAGATTGTAATTCAGACTGCAGAGTGTCATTTGATGTCTCCAAGAGAAGACACTTCTGCTCAGAACTCTCTAATTTTTCAACACCATCATCTATCTTGGAATTTAGCCTACGCACCTCCTCTTCAGCACAAGAGAGTTTATACTCCAAACTGGAAATTATCTCCAAGCATTGCTGATAACGGAGAGCAGCTTCTTCCTTGTCTTCATTAAGTTTAGTAACTTCTTTTTTCAAAGCCTCAATTTCATTTTCAGCTATATTGGCTTGCTCTTTAGTCCTTCTTGAACTTTCCTTAGCTTCTTCTAATCTCTCCTCCACTTTGGATAATGTCTCCGAGCACTGTTTATATTGAACAAGGATAGCTTCCTTTTCAGCTTCTACTCTGGCAAGGTCATGCTTTAGGGACTCAGTTTCAGTTTCAGCTCTGGTAGCTCTTTCATTAAGTTCTCCTGCTTCCGTCTGTGCAAAAGAAATATTTTTCTCTAGATTTGCTATTTTCTCCAGGCAATCCTGATACTTATGAAGACTATCTTCAGTTTCAGCCAGTAATTTAATTTGGGCTTCCTTCAAGGCTTGAACTTCAGCTTCAGCTTTACTTGCTCGCTCATCAAGTCTTTGAGAATTCTCTTGTGCACTTAACACTTCTAACTGGAGATTTGACAACTTCTCTAGACACTGTTGATACTGAAGCAAGCCAGCTTCCTTTTCATCTTCTAATTTGGCAATGGCTTTTTTCAAGGCCAAAATTTCTGTCTCTGCTTTTGTCACACGTTCAGACTCAAAGACTTGAGACCTAGTACTGTTGCTCCCATTGTTTAGCTCACTACTCTCCTGTGTCTCGAAAAAATTGAGCCCCCTTCTAGCTTGCCTTTCTGAAAACTGTGTAAGATTTTCCTGTTCTCCAGGGATGTAGAGATCATTGAGCTGTTTCAAACCTGTTTTGCTCAAAGAAGAGTCAGGTTCGCCTGTATAACCACCATTTTTTTTTATAACATGGAAGTGAGCAGAAGACTCCTTTTGTGGTTCATCTGGATCTAGAAACGCACGTGAAGGGTGGCGCGTTTCTGGAGTGTGTGGCTCTGTCTCCGGAGGAGAAACTGTAGGTAAATCATCTGTTAGCATCATAGGAACTTGATTTGGAAATGCCTCCGCCATGGTCCTATGGGCATGGCGGATCACTCCTGTTGCATGATCATATCTCTCAGCCAATGCCCGATATGCCCGGTAAAACTCTTCAACCAATTTCATAAGCTCCGGGCGTTTTTTATAATACATTTCTGCTCTCCTGGCAAAGGAATCTGCATCTTCTTCAATAAGCTTAATCATTTGCTTCACCTTGACATCCATATCTGTGCAAGAGGAAATATCGTTTTAATAATCTCAACAAATATAACAGATATAAAAGAAATGAAAGAGATTTTCAAGAAAAAAAAAATGAAAGAGGAAATAGATTTCATTTGTTCTCCGTGTCAGAGACATATATTTCCCCCATATATAACAAATCAATAAATGGTGTGACTCAGTGAAGGTGTCAAGTCATGAACAACAACAGTAAACATGTTTAATAGAATTACTACCAAAGGCTGAAGAGGGTGGTTAGAAGGGATTACCTGTCAGATTTTCCTGGAGCCATTTTGAGTTTTTGGGGCTTATATGGCTGTCCCACCACCATGAATACATTCTCCTATTGTTTGCATGAGACAAAGTCGCCATTGCTCCAGCTAAAGGACAGAAGCGCTTTGTTTTCTGAGGTTGTAGGAACTTAACCCTTCAAAGTTTCCAAGTCAAACAAGTCCACACAGTTTCTTCTTGTGTGTATTCACTAGAACAACAGATAAAACCAAAGGAAAACAAGCGTTCAGTTACAGACAAATCAAAGCCATGTATTTTTCTTCTTTCAAAAATGATCTGCAACTGAACAAAAATACCTGATCAATTGGAACTCAATCAGTCTCCAAAACTGAATTAACAAATACCTCCTGACAAACCGGAAAAAGTACAAACTACCTGATCAAACAAACAAAAAAATCCAATTAAACCAGCAGAAGACCCAAAACTAAAACAAAAGTAAAATTATGTCAGAATTTGGCAAATCAACAAGAACATGAAAATCTTCAAAGCTTCAGAAGATGACAAATCATGAATCCATGTTCAAATTTAACAATAATCTATGATGATCATCCGTAAGATGGTGACCATAAAATCCAAATTACCTGACCAATCAAATCCAGATGATTAAACTTTAAATTAAAGCAAACAAATAAAAAACTGAAGATCAATACAAAAGGAGAATCGAATTGAATTGCAAAGTGAAGAGGCATGAGAAAGAGATAAATCCTTGAAGTAGTGAAAAACAAAAAGGCAGTAATTGAGATATCAAGCTACTCACCACTCACCACTCACCAAAAATGACAGTAAAAGATTGAAACTTTGATGTATTGGGTTCTGATTTCCTGTGGCGGCGATGAACTAGTTCAGGTAAGGCGTGTTTTTTATTATTATTTGTCAAAACCTCTGTGTGTGTCACCCCATGTTGGTTGGATCTCTGTGTTTTGTGCTCAAACACAACACACAATGTTGTCTGTGTGTGTTTGTGTCTCTCTCTCTCTATGTTTGTGTCTTTCTTTCTCTCTCCTGCTGGTTGCTGGTGTTAAGCAGAGTTACCTTTCAGTTTTAGCTTTCTTTGTGGGTTGGTGGCATACTGTCCCCTTCTGACCTCTCCAGGTATGAAAGAAATGCCAAATTATCAAAACAAATAATAAAAAAATCCATCTATTTATTTTAATTTAATAATCTAAACTTATATCATATCCTTCCTTCAAAAAGTCTTATATTATAATCTTAATTTTGACATATTGATTAAAACAGATTTATATTCTTAATTAATTATAAAAATTTAAAACAGTTATTATAAAACGAATAATGTATTATTTTTACACATTTAATATATTCTAATTGATCCATTTCAATATTCACTACGAAAAGGTTTTGAGAAAAAAAATTAAGTATTAAATTTAATTTTGATAAATTATTAATGTATTATACTATTAAAAAATAAATTAAATATAAACTAAATTTAATAATAATTAATTTTATGATAATTATTTACGATAGATGATAATATAAAAATCATACATCACCAAATGCATGAATTAACTGACATAAAAAATTATTTTAGGTACTGATTTTTGAATTTTAATATAAAACATGTAGTTACTTATAAGGTGATGTGAGTCATGCTAAAAAAAGGTGTATCTACTTTAATTAATTTACTTATTAAATTATATTTATATTAATATTTAAACAGAGGAGGCGTTTCTTGGCACATTAATGGAGGTTAGATGATCGATTAATAATAATATTATTATTGAAATTAATGGTTGATTAATGGTCTGAACGCATTAGGTAAGTTTTAATTTTTGTCTTCACTGCACTACCTTTACGGTGTAGTGTTGTGATTGCTGTATAACTAATTATTTTAGATTATGACTTCTTTTAACACTTTCTTTTCATGCCTGTCTTTTAAGCACCAATCCTTATCATTTGTTTTAAGAAAAAAATTGCTTAGTTTTATTTTACGGATTTTATTATCATTTTTTTACTATTATATCCATTTACTGAGTTTCTAATGGATAGTTTATGTGAAAGTTTTGGAAAAAAAAATTCAAAATGATCTCGTTTTAATGTTAATTTTTGTAACATGAGTTGTTCTGACTTTGTTTATTTTAGAAAAGAAATCGTAAAATGTTATTATTATGGAAGAAAATTTGAAACAATAATAATTAAATTGTGAAATATAAAAAGTGAAAACTTTATTTCGGCACAGATAACAACTTAAAATTTTTTTATCTATTATGTCAGTAAATAATTTTAAAGATGATATAACTTATCGAGATTTAGAGTATTTTTATGAGTTGTGTTGTTGAGGAGGTAAATTTTTTAAATTTATAAGTTAAGTTGTAGATCTGCCTAGGACGGTTGAAGACGAAGTGAATATTTACCTAAAAAAACATTATGATAATCAAATCAATAAAAAAGTTATTATTATATAAACTTTTAATGTCTTAATTTTTTACATAAATAATATATATATACATATAATTTAAAAAATAATTTATTAGAATTATTAATATACGAAAACAAAGCATAAGATAATTAAATTGTTAAATATTATTTTTTATATTCATTAATTATTCTTAATAATAACTAATCTATGTTACATGCATTTACGTTTATTTCAATTTAATCGCTATCATTTGTATTTGCCTGAATAAAATAATAATAATTTTAAGATAATTAGTATAAAAGAATATTTTTATTCTATGATAATATCAAAATTATATATAAATATTACTTTAATTAGATTTTTATTTATAATTTTTATTTTATATATATACTGTTTTAAAAATTCATCATCCAAATAATTAGATTTTAATTTAATCAAGATAAAATTAAAAAAATAAAAATAAAATTGACTAAATTTTTTTACATAAAATTAAGATTAAATAATATAACTTTTATAAAAAATATAATATATTTTAATTTTTATTATATTATTTATTAATTTTAAATAATAATTACTTTTTTATATTAATAATTATTCTCTTTATTTTTTTAATATATTTTATATTTATATTTTTGTTGAAATTTATGATGATCATATAATATTTATTATTTTTCTTTATTTTATATAAAAATATTATTATTAATTTATTTATTATATTATAAAAATATTATTTTATTAAATCCAATTAAAATAATTTAACAGTTAAATCTAAACTCATGATTTCACCTATTCATTAACCAAATGTTTTTTTTAAGTATTATATATTTATCTTCTATTTTTTTTAATATATCTACAGTTGTAATTCTATGACTTTTTTTCATACTAAATACTGAATATTTTTTAAAATTATTATTTCGGCTCTTATTTTATATAAAGACCTTTCACATAAAAGTTATCTTTTATTCTGTATATTTGATTTTTTTATATTCTTTTTAAGTACACTATTTTATAGTTATTTGAATTTTTTACATTTTTTAAAATAAATCATTTTTAGAATATTACTTTTTACTGGTATTTCTTTTTATATAAAATTCTGTATTTTGTTAATATTGTAAATTGTCAACAAACTTTAAGAACTTTCTTTGTATTCTTAAATATTTTTATTCATTATTAATTAACTATATTTAAAAAATTGTTTCAATAACATTAAATTATTCTTTTCAAATTAAATATAATGACTCGGAATATATATATATATATATATATATATATATATATATTTCGAGTCATTTAAATATTTTTACTTAATATAAATTATTAAAAGAATATTACTTATATTAAAATTATTAAATTAAAATATAATGAAACGTGGAGAAAAAACTATTCTTCGTTTATGTTTTAATATATTTTTTATCTCACATAAATCGTATTTTTGTTGTATTTGGATACTCTTTTCAGATTTTTATTTTTATTTTTTTTCTTTTACTATATTGTATTTCCACCTTTAAAAAATCCTAATGTCTTTAAAATTCTTGAAAAAGACATTATTCTTTATATATATGCATATTTTTATTCTCATATATCATGAAACTCAAAACACTAGATATTATTTTCTAGGTCAAAGTTTATCTAGCATATACAAATATGAGTTCTAAAAAAACAGAGTTTAAATATAATAAAAAACTAAAATAGTGCATTCTTCATTTCATAAGAATTATTATCTCTCTTAAATTTTAAATTTTCTAACATCTCAAAACTTTCTCTAAATTTTTTACAGATTTTTAAGATAATTTGTTCAATTTTTCTTACTATGACCCTACCTTAATTTTATTGGAACATATCATTCATTATGATGATTTTCATTTATTTTTTCTTCCATGTGTTGATGTTATTGTTCTATGTAGGTTGTATGTGAGGCAACCGTGCTTGTATTAGAGATTAGAGAGAAAAATAAAAAATAAAAAGTTAGGGACTACAAATTTATTTTTTACATTTCATTTTAATATTAGGGTGATAAGTGTAACGATCCTATAAATCGCTACTATAATAATAACTTTGCAAAATAGTAAACGAGTAAATAACAATATCTATATTACATTATATTACTGTAATTATAATATAGACTGAAATCATGAACCTCAGAACATAGTAACAACAGATATATGCAAAAGTAACTCCCATAAAGTTATCCCGCTGAACTATCCCTGTTGTCCAATAGTCGCTTCTCCACCTCTCAACTCTTGATCTGCTCCCACATAAAAGTGATCATCGCAGTCTCATCCACATGGAAAAATAGGGGTAAGTATTAAATCATTCGATATAATAAAACAGATATAGAAGTAATAATTATATATTATCATCAATACACTACGACGCCTTCCGGAAGTATACCCTAACTATGTCCAAACTCAGAGACTATCATCTGTAAGCACATTGTGATCGGCACCCGCAATATCATTCTGACCACCCTCCACACAGAGTAGGATTACTGGCACCCTTCATCACTCATACTGGAGCACCCCTCCGAGTGCGCTACCATTCATCCCCCATCGACTTCTCACCATCCGATCTCGTAGTCTACCTGATCCGACCAATCAATGAAGTTGGGGACCTCATTCAGAATCCTACGACATAGTTATTACACTAATGTACTCTGTACCACCCTGAGTATCATTTAAACACAACAAAAATCATTTACATCTGCCCG